TACAGTAACGTGACCGTATGTACGACGTCTTCAACCAGTCATCAGCTTTGAAATATTGTGTCGCAAACAGATAATTGTCGGAAGTTGTTCAAATCGAGCGGTATAAAGATTCTTCCGATCATACACACCTTATACAAAAGATATTTATAGAATCAAACATTTCAGAATATGTTCGAAGAAAGTGGGTTGAAATTTACGAACGGCAGTGAGCAAATCACCATACTTGTGTCCGCGAACGGAGGAACTACTCCGCTTTATATTTAGCCTACCCCTTAATTTGGGTAATGAAAGTGGAACACACACGATGTTTTTCACCGAAAAAGGAAAGGAATGTAAGCACAAAATATATTATGTCAACTTCTGCAATAACGCCCAGTATTAGTATTGACCTCTCCTCCCTACTTCTAATAATATTTGGCTAGTTGTCCTTTTTTTCTCTTTCGCCCTTGGAATTTAAGCTAAGACGTAATTATTTGCGGATTATCTACGCATTTCGGTATCATTTCAGAACCACTTTATTGGTCCTCTACAGGAATAAAATGAGGGAACAAGAAACAAAACAAAAACGATTGTGACACAAAGCCCAATAAAAATAGATTTCGGGGGGAGACGAATTTGGACTATTTAGTATACTAAAACATTGTGGATCATGTTAGCGAATAATGTAAAGTAATAATCAGGAATTTATCCGACATGTTACACGGCCATAATTTTATCGAAATATCCCCTATAGCTGTACTACATGTCGGATGTGTGTTACCCTTAAAAAGGAAATATTATGGCCGTGTAACATGTCGGATAATATCCCGATTAGAAAAGTAACCGACAACGATCGACAAACGATTGCATGGTGGGATTTTAAAATTTTTTTACTTGGAGTAAAAAGTGATGACTTTTAATATATTATTTATTACGTTATTATCATAAAGTTAAACAAAAGGCTGCGGTATATGTATGAGGATGGTGCATAACAGTACAATGTGTGTACTTACCATATATGATATGATAGCCCTCATCATTATATGATTAAGCAACAAAATAAAATCATATACGATACTTAGCCGGAAGGTCATTGATGATAATGCAAATATTGATTTAAAATAATGGAAAAGTTAAAATGTGCAATGTACGTAAAGCGGAAATGGGGATATGTACCAACATGTTACATATTCCCGATGCAGAGACAATTAACGATTGTGTACATGGTTATCTAATTATAGGTACCAATAGTTTGTGGTCCAAACTATTAAATTCACCTGTTAAGAGTAACTATTGTTTTGTTTATAGTAAATAGACACAGAAACTGCAATTGTCGAATGATCGATGGATGTCAACCCCAACAAGCAAAACCATAATTATTTCATTTCTGAAACAGTTCGCATATCCAAAATGGTACGATACTGGTTCATTCGTCTGTTGAAAAGATATAGTTTTTATTTACCAACAGACATTTATCGTCAAGGGCGGTTTGTTTCTTGTCATCTCATCTGAAGCTGTTTACGAGTGTCACAGGGGTAATTTCAAACCGAGTTACGTTACAAGTGCAGTTATCCCTACATCAAATTTGTAATTCCTTGACGCTTTTTCTTTTCGACAATATTAATTTTCATTGATCTGGACTTTGAGAGCTAATTTGCATTTCGTCAGAGACTTTATTCGACTTTTACTATGTATCTGTTTCTAACAACGTGCGTATAAAAAAATCAGAAACTGTTGCAGACAACTAATATACTATTGTTTCTATTCTTTTTACGCCGTGTGAATTATTCCAACACTGTCAATAAAGCATTTCTCGACTTTATTGCTATTAACCAAATAACTTGCTGTTTAAAGTAAAGATGAGATTATACACGTAATTTTACGATTATGGTTGGTTGGTCATCTATCCTTTATCACCCACAATTTTGGCAAGTTTTCTCTGCTCACAAAATGTAGTGCAACATTAAAGTAAACCTGTGAAATTTCTATTTAAAAGATAGACGTACGCATGATCATTCCTACCAGGATAATCGCATTGCATTTGATTTCCACGCAACATCCATCATGAAGGTTCTCGCACTATTTCTCGCTCTTACTGCAATAACCTTTACCTCCGCTACTTCGTCTCGATTGCAAAGTAGACACAACAGCACGTATCTTGTAACAAGAAATCCTGTCGGCAATGCCAAAGCGCATTCTTTACCCATTACAAAACTCGGTGTCAACGCTTGTGGCAATCCGAATTATTCTCTATGTCCAGATGGCATTTACTGTTGCCCTACCGGCGTGACATGCATAATTGGCGGCTACTGCAACGTGCCCTGCACCAGTCAAGATATGCCTTGCGGCCTTACTTGCTGTATCCCTGGCTCAACTTGTATATATGGATACACATGTGTCAGTAATTCTGATGGAAGCGGTGGAAGTGGCGGAGGTTCTAGTGGCGGAGGCGGCTCTAGTGGAAGTGGTAGCGGAAGTGGTGGAGGCAGCTCTGGTGGAAGTGGTGGCGGAAGCAGCGGAGGCAGCTCTGGTGGCGGAAGTGGGCCCTTCAAAAATGTCGCCCCTAAAACAGAGATGCAATTATTCAACAGAATTTTGACAATGGCCATTGTCGTCTCAATTTATGTGTTCAGTCATATATAATAATATGTAAACATGTCTTCTACATCTGTAATAAATTTGTATGACAATTTTATAGTGGTATACTTGACAAGTAGTAGGGTTTTTGTACAATTATATTACAAAATAAACAGTTTGATAATAAAAATAAAGCGAGAATAGAAATAATCCGTACAAATAATTTATTATGGATAATTTAAACGTGTTTGAGGGGAGCTGTTTACTTGCCCGACAATCAGTTGCCCGACAATTATTACCCGACAAACTTTTGCCCGAAAGTTCATTTGCCCGACAAATATTTACCAGCATTATTTCAAAGTTATCCTTTTTTGGGTAGTTTTTTGTCGGGCAAATGAACCGGACCCATGTTCAGTATAAAAGCTGGTAAATTGTTTAGTATAGATAAACAACTTGATCCAGACAGAGGCTGACACAGGGCACAACATTGCTAAAGTTGCAAAACGTTTGAATCTATCAATTGCCAGATAACTGAGCCCTAAAATTAACCCACGGCTTTAATTTAAATGTAGCGCACTTGCGCGTTTGATATTCTACAAAAATAATTTACTCTACACACTAGAAACAAGCGCAACTAACAATATTTTGTAAATGTAACTTGTGGTATGGTCAAACTTGATAACAAGTGAGCAAATTTACGCATTCATGAAAAGCATAAAACTTTGAGTATGTGAAGAAAAAAAAGCTTTGATTACAATTTTTATCGTAAACTTCCCTAACTTAAAGAGTTACAAAGCTGTGAGATAATAATACGTTGATTTAATGTAGAAGTAAATACGCGCTCATATAATAATAACACAAATGACCGATATTTAGATCGTGAGTATAAATCGTAGTATAAATCGTAGTTTAAACGTCACTAATCAAAGTATGTCACCCGCAACCAAGGGCACGTATGGTATATCATAGTAATATATACATGTTCTGTTTATATAATGCCCGTGGTTTTGTCACAAGTGGAGTTATGACCATGTGTAATACTGCCACGTATGTATGAAGGAGTTGTGGTTGTAGAATTAAAATGTATGATGACGATGTATTGTGTGATTTTCTGTCTGATGTTTTAATCAAGACTATTGTAGAGGTTTACCTTCTTATTAGTCATGTCTAATAAAAGACACAAATGACTAGTGCGTACTTCGGCAGTGTATTAATGACATTGTGATCGTCAGTTTTTAAAAAGTCAACCAATTGAATCGTCGCAATCAATCACAATAGCGTACTTATAAATCTGTATCGCGACATAAATATTTCTTAAAATGGTACAACTA